TTAATCTCTTAATCCCTACATTTTATAACGTATCACATTTCCTGCATTGACAAAAAGCAGCCAGCGTATAAAGCATCCTCCCTGAGTCGACTCCTAATTTAATATTCTCCGTAACCCCCCGATCAGTGTACTGCAGGATTTATTTATTGTTTGTATTTAATGTATTTATTTTGTCCGGCTCATGGCAATGAATATCAAATGGATACTTTACTTACATTTCCTATGTTTATATATCCTATTTTACCTTTTTATTCTTACTTTTTATGTTTAACAAATGTCTTGATTTATTTATCATTTTATTCATCTTACTTTTTCATATAATATATTTAATTGTATTTATATTTTATCTAAAGGTCCCATGTCATGCTTTTCCAGTTATTACCCGTCCCCTTGTGTGTTATGAAGGTTTTAATGCATGTAAACGGTCTGCAGAGTCACAAAGTACACCCTGTAGCGAGTACAACTCTAACACAGAGAATACCTGTGTATGCTGCCGCAGAATGCCTCGTTGGACATTTCTCTATTTCCATTTGTTTCTTCCTGGAACCAAGTGACGTAACGACGATCCAAATGGACCAATCCGTGGAGCTCCTCACACACACACACACACTCACTCAGCCGTATCTTTTCTCAGCCGCAGCTGCGTGGATCTCCACTCACAGTTCGCCACACACTCACGTGTGTGTGTGCTCAGGCTGAGTTTCGCCGCAACCAGGAAACGACACCAGTAATCCAGCTCACACTGTCGGCTCCTCGAGTCTCAAAGGGCGGAGCAGCGAGCCCCGCAACGTCCCGCCAACACGGCACCCAGACCCCACGCAGCATTCTCATCTGTTTGTCATTACTGGTGTCATTTTCTGGTTGCTAACAAACGCCATTGTAACACATAAACACACATAGGGAGGTGGGGGGGGGGGGCAGGAGCTCCAACAAGGCGTGTAGGACAGAGAGTGAATACACATACATACAGAGATGCTGTATGAGAAACCAATGTGAGTTTGGAAAATTGAACAATGTCAATCTATTCTAGTAGACCTCAACAATGGAATTATGATCAGTAGAAAAGGCCTTTAAATCATTCTAAAATGGAACAACGGTCGAGGTCTGATTTCTGATGAATATAAAAAAAAATCACAAAACATCTTCACTTCAAGTTCACCAGTCTCCGCTCCACTCAGGGTTGAGATGGGTTTTTGTTATTATCTTAATTTCTGTGTTGTTTGTCCCATTATCCCCGCTGGTCAGAAGACGCCTTTTGCTTCCATTACTTTTGTTTCTGCACTAAAGCATTTCATTGTTGTATCCCTCCTCTAAGTATTGTGTTGGAGCTGAGTCATACTGCGTTGTGCTCTGCTTTCTGTATATCAAGGACTTGCAAGTCAACGGCAGAAAAAAATTATTTTATTATTTTAAAGCTACATTTGATTCGGTAATGACACTATTTTGGAAAACAGGTACATTTTTGGAAGTGTAAACTCTCACAGAATGCAGTGCGATATAATTTGCATTGATGAAAACAAAAATAAATGAGCTGCAACTCTGGATGTTATTCTCCTGCAGTCATATTCAAGGGGCCCTATTATGCGTTTGGGTGGCCCCTTTTGTGGTGTGTTTTATAGTATTTTGTGAATGGTCCTAAAGCCCAAAGTTCCATCACCTGACAGACCCTCTGCCCTTCACCCTCCGCAGGTCTTCTTCGCAGAGGACGTTGGCTCCAACAAGGGCGCCATCATCGGCCTGATGGTGGGAGGCGTCGTCATTGCAACTGTGATCGTCATCACCCTGGTGATGCTGAGGAAGAAGCAATACACCTCCATCCACCACGGAGTCATCGAGGTGAGAAACAGCTGACCTGTGGGTGTGTGTGTGTGTGTGTGTGTGTGTGTGTGTGTGTGTGTGTGTGTGTGTGGTGTGTGTGTGTGTGTGTGTGTGTGTGTGTGTGTGTGTGTGTGTGTGTGTGTGTGTGTGTGTGTGTGTGTGTGTGTGTGTGTGTGTGTGTGTGTGTGTGTGTGTGTGTGTGTGTGTGTGTGTGTGTGTGTGTGTGTGTGTGTGTGTGTGTGTGTGTGTGTGTGTGTGTGTGTGTGTGTGTGTGTGTGTGTGTGTGTGTGTGTGTGTGTGTGTGTGTGTGTGTGTGTGTGTGTGTGTGTGTGTGGGGCTGGCTTCTCTGCATCAAATCTATGCATCATGTGTAGATGTACGTATGATGTATATAGAGTCTGAAAAAAGGTCTTGATACTGTACACACCTTCTAAATGTATAATTATTTATATATATTATCATCTGTTCAATTTAAGAATACTGTAGCTGTTGCAGCTTTGTTACTCTATTTTTGCCAATTACTATACAAAAACACTTTCAGGAAAGCATTAAAATGCTCTTAAAATGTAGATTTCCAATGTGTGTGTGTATATGTCTAACCACCCTTCCCCCCCTCTTTTGGCTCCCTTCCAGGTGGACGCAGCCGTCACCCCCGAGGAGCGCCACCTGTCCAAGATGCAGCAGAACGGCTACGAGAACCCGACCTACAAGTTCTTCGAGCAGATGCAGAACTGAGGAGAATGTCACACATATTTAACACACACACACACATCTCGTCCCACACATCAAACACCTCCCCTCCCCTCTCTCCTTCCTCCCCTATGTCTCCAAATAAGGCAGGTCATTGTGACTGAAATAGTCAGTTACGACGATCAAACGGAGCGACTGTAGCCAGGGGTTCCTTGCGTTCCCTCCTGGGCGGGACCGCGTTCGTTTACGTTGTCGGAGCGAGACGCCTTTTTAATTAAAGCCCCGTGTTTTTATGTAGCTCCGCCTTGGCCTGCTGATGTATGGTATAAAAGAAGGCCCGCCCAGTGCAGAGAAACAAACCCACCCGTTGGGGAAAGGAGCGCTTTCTCTCCCCACTGATTCAGGGTTGGTGTGTTGTTGGGTTTTTCAGTGTCTGAGGTGTGGAGAATCTGACCTCTGATCAGTGGGATTTAAGACGCACGCTGACCCTGGGCTTCATTTAGAAAAATGAGCCACATCATTAGTTGTCTCATATTCTTTTTACTGATTATACATAATAAAATATAGGCTTAAATCAAAGATATTTTTCTAAATGAAGCCCCTCACCACTGCACTTACTCTACAGTCTACACTGGAGTACCCCCCCCCCCCCCATCTCCTCCCTCCTCCCTCCACCTTCTTTTCATTTTCACGACAGCTGGGCTGTGTTAAGTCACACGGAGACGCTGATATTAATGAGTATGCTGATGACGACGGTAGTAATTATGTATTCTGAATGAGCTGTTTTTTTATTTTTCTCTTTTCGTTTCCAGTTTTGTTTTTCAAAAAAGATTGAAGAAAACAGAGGATTAAAAAATAATAATATGTAAAGTCCTTTTTTTAAATTGCGTGTAATGTTACTGAAGTCTTAGCTGTTCCTATGTAGTGCATGACAACAGGATTCGGAAAAAAACACACACAGATCTTAACGCTGCTCTCTCCTGAGATCATTTCTCACATATAGATTGTCATTCTAGCAAGATTGTACATTTAGTATCTTCTCGTGATCACGTGACTTCAAACGATGAAAAATATATATAAATCTAGATGAACGGGCTCTGCTTTGATATCATGGAAAATACACATTTAAAAAGAGATCTGTGATTTTGGGATTTAAGTGTGTTTTTCTTGTCTTTTTTTCTTTGTTCCCGACGCTTCATCTCTGTTTGCGTTTCCACGGAGATATATTGATCCTTATGCATCATTTTTTGTTGAATTCATGTTATGTTGTTTGTGTGGAAAGGGGCATGTTGTGGGTGTGAAGGTGACAGGGACGGGAAATTGAAAAATAAACGGGAGGTATCCGGCATGGGGGATGGGTTATGGGATTACGTGTGTTTTGTCATTTTCAGTCTGGTGTTTCGTCCAGTTGTAAGCCAACACCGTCTTTTATTTTGTAATGATTCTTGCTGATAGAATAAGTGGAGAGCTGAGAGGAGGTGAGGAAGAGAGGGAATGACTTGCAGTTACGGTTGAATAGCCAGGCCTGTATATATATATAATGGATTTTCACTCCTCTCCTTCCTCCCTCCCTTCCCCTTCCCTTTCCTTCAGGCATGCTTTACCATCCACTCCTCACTGTCGCCTGTATACATATGATGGGCATTGAGAGAGATTACAGCGAGTCAGGGAATAAAACAATCTCCCGTTCATCTCCATACAGTCATACTAAAGGTTTGTCCCCATGTTAACATTACATTGAAAGAAACACAGTGAGGAGATGGTGGGTTTTTATGAAGGCTGCAGTGGGGTGGGTCCTTTGGTTTTCACAGTGTGCTCATGAGACGCCCAGCAGAGGGCAGTAGAGTAGACGAGGAAGCAGGATTTTCTTTCTATTGTTTTTTTTTTCCTTCTCTGTGGGGTTATATTATATTGGTTTTGTTTTCCATAGTGTAATATTGTGCAGGCCATTTGCATCTACTGGGAAAACGCTTTCTACACTGTATTCCATAATAAAGTTTTGAATGTACATACAGATACTGTGTCCGAGGTTTTTATTGCATTTAAGATAAGATAAACCTTTATTGAATGAAATGCAACATGAAAATAAGGTCACTGTATATCATGTGAAAACTGCCGTATTGCCTTCAGAGATCAGTTGTTGCATTGTTGACAGGAGTTTATTTTATAGGAACACACACAATATTGCACAATAATCCATTGCAATGTAATACAACATTTAAAGCTATGATTATTTATTTTCCCAGTCCTCTGAGTGCCATTTAAAATAACATATTTTAAAGGAGTTCAGCCAACTATGTGATCTATTTTATTCTATTGACTTATTATTCAGTATTTCCGGCTGAAGGACATATCGGAGGGCATCATGACACAAATTAATTATTAATTATCACAAGGCAAACAGCTACAGCTGATGACATAATTTAATAATTTAACCTCTAAATAAACTATTTTTTAAATAAATTTGGTGTCATTTGAGGTCACCTAAATATGCGCAGTGCTGCGCAAACAAGGCGCCTTTCTGACGTCCTCGAGCGCCACACGACCTCCCACAATCCACCGCGGTCTACCACATTCGGATATACTACTCTAGTGTCAAATCCAAGGTGAGTGCTGCTTCTTGATATACACTATTAACCTTTTACTCTTACGCTATATGTCGTGACTCTACATGCTGATTAATGTCTGTTTGTTTAATTGGAGAGTATAATGTTAGCGGGACTTGCTGCAACACAATAAACGAGAGAGGACACGGTTTGAAAGTCCCCTAAGCTAACGCTATTTTAGCATGTTGGCATTAGTTCGCAATAAGTCAATGATAAACCAATGCTGCTCGACGTCGTTGTGACAATACTTATGTAAGCAAGTGTTTAACAAGTCACAGCTGTTAACTGTGTAGCTATCAGCCTCATTCACCAGAACCTCCGATGTGTACAACATAAGCTAATGGATGCTAAATTAGATTATATCATGCTAGCGCTACTTAGCTATAGCTATATTGGAAGAATGTACTCATTATTTACCCGAGTATAAGTACTTATACCACACCGTAGAAATAGTTTAAGAAGCCTTAAATTGAAATACTCAATTATAGTAAAAGTACCTCAAAATTGTACACAGAGACACTTCCATGTTACATTCCATCATAAGTTCAGTAGATGACCATTTCTGTAAAGTTGAATACAATCCTTTAATAAAGCATGTCAACATTTTAACCAGGATATAGTTTCAAGTCCTTTTTGAGTTGTACGTTTCTCCATAATGTAATTTCAGGCTATGCAATTCCTACTAATATGAAACAGACTGAATCACATCCAGATACAGATTTAACCCGAGGCTGTTTGTTCTCTCAGATGGCACTTCACAGATTGTTCCAGCTGTCCTCCATGCTGCGCTCCTCCGTGAACCTGACGCTGCGCAGGAACATCGGCCTCTCTGCTGTGGTCTTCAACCGGGCCAAGGACCTCGACCCAATCCAGAAACTGTTCCTGGACAAGATCCGGTCCTACAAAACCAAGAGCCGGTAAGTCGATTGTACACAGCCCCATGACCTACACCCACATGACCTACAGCCATACTTTATCCAGTATTAGATTTCACTGATCAGACACAAGCATATTTGTCCTTCTCAACATGCAATTTAATTTCAGTCCTCCTTTAAATGGCATCTCCCCCAGTCATCGCCGTTGATCACGCTCATCTTGTGAACATAATGTGATTTGCCTCTTCCAGGGCGTCTGGTGGGGTTGTGGACGGAGATGCCTCCTACGATAAGAACGTGTCCGATGAGATTTTCAAACTGCAGAGGCTTTATGGCGGAGGGGACCTCGACAAGTTCCCTGAATTAAAATTCACAGGTAAGACTGTTTTTGTCTCCTTTTATCTTCAATGACATAACATAGGTGATGCTTTTAGTGCTTACAATAATTTAATTTTAAGTATTTCAATAATCTCGACCAACTATCGCTCATGATTTTTTCTTCTTGCTTTGCTTTCCAGACCCCATGTACGATGAAGTGGCCAAGTGAATGCTGTCCATGTTGTGTACCTTCTACATGTCACAAATATGTTGTATTTAATAAAAAGATATTGGATTGAACATAGGTTTACTGGTTGTTAATTAAGCTGCCTTTGAAGGTTACCAAACACTGGCTTGTCTGGTGTTTTTTGTCATTTGTTCCACCAAATCCTTTACAGCTGAGGCATGGTTAAGTTGAGCATGCACAGGAGAGTAACATTTGGTAATACAAGTAAAAGTGTGTAAACGGTCCTCTGCCCTTCAGAGGGCAGGTCTTCTTCGCAGAGGACGTTGGCTCCAACAAGGGCGCCATCATCGGCATGATGGTGGGAGGCGTCGTCATTGCAACTGTGATCGCCACAGGATAATATCACAGCCTAATTGTCTTTAGATATATTTATAGATTTCACGGGAACGCCACACTTTATATCAAGCATCGATCTCCTTTGCTGTTTGGTAAGTAGTTAAGCCTTAAGAAACGCATGTGGGTTTTCTTTCATTTTTTGACCTTATGTTTGAATATGTGAGAGTGGGTGGAGTTTTATCAGCCATTTAAGGGAAAGGCTGTTCATTTGTTCTTCTTAACTGAGGTTTGCCTGCTATTCCCAAACAGTCCTGGGGGTGCCAGCAGAGGTTTGTAATAGTTTTAGCATTGGGTAAAGAATTACTTTTTTGACATATGGTTTTTTCCGTGACATTTGTCCACATATATTTCAGCATTACTATATTACTTTTTTGGTCATACAATGTTATTAATTTCATCAATATATAGGAGGAAAAATAATGTTTTTTTCTAAAGTTGTTGACATACTATTATATAAAAATAGTTGGTTTTTTTTAGATAAGGGTCCGCCTTATATTATAGCTCAGAGAGATACAACACTGCTCAGTGTTATAATAATATAACACAATACAAATGCAATGTCTCTTTTCTAATTTATATTTTTGAAAAAGTTAGATATGTCCTGAACAAATGTGTTTACATAAGGGTCCCCCCTTTATATGGGGAAAAGAGGATTTTACTACTTAGCACTACGAAAAACCTTTCCATACCCTGTCTGGTCAGATGGCTCAGAGAGATGACTTCAGGTTGTGAGTTCAAGTCTTCTGAGGAGAATCCAACAACCTAAAATGAAGAAGACAAATATCAAATCAAGTTTTATTTATATAGCACATTTATAAACGATTTTTGGTCGAGCCAAAGTGCTGTACATATAATACAAATAGCCTACAGTAGAGACACTTTACAGCAAATACAATAACACAGATTGATCAGAATATCAGTATGAGAAAAACGACACCCTCTATCCTTAGACCCTCACATCGTACAAGGAAAAACTTCCGGAGAAAACCCACAGTTTAAAGGGAAAGAATGGGAGAAACCTCAGGGAGAGCAACAGAGGAGGGATCCCGGGACGGACAGACGTGCAATAGATGCCGTGTGTAAATACACAAAGAGCACGGCTCGTCTCGTACTTGTGTGGTTGGCGCAAGGGTTTGTTCCTCGGCACCCGTGTCGAGGTTCGATTCCCACTGCCAAACTCTTGTACAGTGTGTGTGTGTGTGTGTGTGAGCAAAATAAGAAAAGAAAATAGGTCAAAATGGAGTTATTAACTAGGTCAAAAATAGAGAAATTAAATAAGTGCATAGCATGGATGTAATTATTACAAAACTGGAACTGTAAGCTTAGTTATAGCCAGGGGAGGATAGTTTAAACATATATCTTTTTGGATAAGGGTCCTCCCCCTCATATAAAAATGAGTTTTTTTTAGAAATAATTTTTTTTACATAAAAGGTGTTCGTGGTGCAATTGTAGGACATACTCTGAGCTATTGTTGGTGTTTGCTATATTTTGTCACAAAAAGAAAAAAACAAGTCATAGTGCAAACAGTCAGAGATACAACACTGCTCAGGTAAGCTAAGTCTTGGGTTCGATGGAGACAAATGTGTTTTAAGAAACTTAAAACACATCGTCTCTTCACTCTGTGGGAAGAAAAGAAGAAAAAGACACCATGAAGTCAGTATAGCTAACCCTAACCCATGAAAACATCGTATTTTATGTGGAAATAAGGCACGGTTTAGTGCATAGAACAAGGCGTAGTATAGTATGTCGATAACGATGACAGAAAAGTCATAATATAGCATTTCGAAACATTTGAAACGACATAGTCGATATATGTCGAATGTATATCGATTTAAAAAAAAAATGCAACAAAAATAATCGAAACAATTATTTGATGCCATAATAAGGCACGGCATAGTGTGTGGATACCAGGCGTGGTATTTTATTTTGTTAAAAATGACCGAAAAGTCATAATATAGCATGTTGAAAAAAATTACAAAAAAGTCATAACCCTAACCAATGTCGGAGAAAACATCGTATTTTATATGGAAATAAGGCACGGTTTAGTGCGTAGAAACAAGGTGTAGTATAGTATGTTGATAACGATGACAGAAAAGTCATAATAAAGCAGTTAAAAAAATGTAACATTTAAGTTAAGTGTCAAGGATAGGAGTCGAGGAGGGGAGTTAGAGAAATGAGAAAGGGCCCCGGTCGTTTTCTTTTAATATTTTCCACAAACTTTTTTTTTTGAATGATGGTCTTGAATCACAACTTTAAAACATTTGATGTTGCAACATTCATTTTATTTGATAAAACAGAAAATACGTCATCAAGAAAAACGAATTACAAGTCATTAAATACATTTTAAAACACGAAACAATACATGGCACGTCTCCCAGCATGGTAAATCGTCACATGTTCACATCTTGCCGTGATACCGGATTGACCAGGCCACACCTGATGCAATTTAAGGCCTGTAATCAGCAGCGCTCAGACTCTCCCATGTCTGCAGCAGCTGGCTCATCCCCATTGCTCTCTTCACATGCTGAACATTGATACATATTTTGAGTAAGTTGTGATTATGTTTATTGGTGGCTTATCCTTATCCTGCAAAAGCAATGTTTGATTTGTTGTACCAGAGCGTTGTGGCCTTTCCTGATTTCTATTTTGTGTTTTAGCCTTAAAATCACCCCCATCATCGGTCTGCATGTGAAGAAATACATGGTTAAACTGCTCTCACTGGTGGTCCTCATACTTTGAATGGTATGCCCAGGGGCCCAGCTTCCACAGATGACATCTTTGTACGTATTTGTTGTTAAAGCACTTAAGATATTCAATGCTATCGGGATGTTAAGACTGAGCATTCCATGGAATATAACAAAAAGTGTATCTGAAGTGAATTACCTACAGTACCATACCTTTAAATGTCAGCTAAAAGAGCAGTGAAATGAAAGACCTCTGAATTTTCTGTAAAGATATTAACAGTACTTAATGTCAGCTTAGTAAACAAAAAAACATTAGCTAACGGACTAATTTCCACCACTCATGGACCACACCCACCTTTTCTTGTGAAAAACTGGGTGACATACTGTCGCCCTTTAGTCCCTCTCTCTTTTCTTAGAGCCTGACTTTGTTGGTCGTTGAGACATGGTACAACACACGTATGTAGGCTAAGTACTAGCATCCCGCCTCCTCACATGCTTTCACTCTCTGCAAGTGCCGGTGCTGCACCGCGTTTGGAGGCAGGACCAAACCATTACATGTAAATAGAAGGGGGTGTACAGAGGCTTTGGGTAATTAACTTTTGGAAGAAAATAAGTTAAATTAATCGTAAGTTTAGTGAGTAATTTATCAATATAACGTTCTATTAATGTTAATTATTGAGGATTGATTAAAGGTTACTTACATTTTTTTTCTTAATGTTCTAAACATTTTGGGGCCCCTGTCAGTCACGGGCCCTTAGAATCGTCCTAACTTTTCACCCCCTTACGGCGCCCCTGGGTATGCCAATGCAGAGGAACCCTCCCTAAAACTAGAGCCTAGTTTTTACACTAATACTATGGGTTGTATGGAGGATTCATATATATGAGTCTAAATATTGGCATCAAAATAAAAAAGTACTCATTCTGCCGATTGGTCCATTTAAGAATGATATGTTTTGATTATAACCATTGATGAATCAAAGCAGTGGTTCCCAAAGTAGGGGGGGCGAATATCAGGGGCGTCGCCTGGACCTGGAAACATTCGGGGCTTAGCCCACAGTGGCGGCGCAATAGTCGAATTTTCTACTGCAAGACTCCCCACACGCACATGTACACAATTGCGCCATCTGGTGTCACAAACGTGTGCCTGCATTAGCTTTGTTACGGCAATGGATTGTGGGAGATTCTCAGAGCACGTGAGGATCTCTTGAGGGTAAGGTGCCTGTATTATCTCGGTGGACAAAATGTATGTTTTTATTTTATAAGGACAATAACGTACTGTTGCGTTTGTTTAGTTTAATGTTAATTGTTTAATGCTCACAGTCACAGCAACATGTTTTTTTGGTGAAAAATATGTTCTGAGTGATCTGTTGCCGAGGGGACACTACACCGGAGTTACATAAGCAGAGATAAAGTGCTATTTTGGGGGGAACTCACCTCCTCTGGGGTCTCCCAGGAAGATTTTTTTTAAATGTTGAAGTTAAAAGCATCAATCTTGTGCAGTTTGAGAGCAACATTAAGAGATATGGATACATCTCTCAACACCCATATGTAAAAAATAAAATCAAAGAATCAGAAACAGGTTTATTATTTAAAAACAGTTCATTTTCCAATTAAATCATAAACTATGTCAAATTATTAGAAGTTGTTAGTAATCAGATTAAACAGAAAAAAGGGATGGAAGGAGGAAATAATAATCCCTCATCACTTGCTGTTTGCGGTTGAAATGATCTCTTTTGCTGGCCAAACATGCTGGATGGAAAGCAGTGGTGTCTCCCTTGCCTTGGCCCTGTATCTGCAGTCCCTAAATCAGTCATGTTACCCATTGACTCTTGTCTGTTCTGGTGTTCCTGTTCATTGTTGTCTCCATTGTCGTTCTTGTCTGTTGTATCTCCTTCTTGTGTGTCCCTTTCTCCTGTTCTCCTTTCTTCATCCTCTGTTTGGCTCATCTGTGATGACTGTGTAGGTAAACACAAACAAGTATGTAAGTCAATCAGTTTCCAGCTCTGTCAAATAAATGAATTTCAAGATACACA